GCTTCTTTATTTTTTTTCCCCTCCCCTCCTTAATGCAGAAGGTAAATGCTGCACAGCTTCGTGCTCAGGAATATCCACATGGTTCCCACGAACAACAAACGTTGCTTGTTATTAACCAACATCAGTTAGATTTCCAGGGACATATCACCATAAAAGAAAACATAAGAGGAAGAAACAGCCAGCCTTAAACCCAAATATTGTTGTGGCAGTGATCACTGGTCAGAAGCAGTTTCAGATGCATTAAACCACCTCGTGTTTGTTGTGCTTCTTGATTAGCTTATGTCAAATGGGGGAGAGAGGTATAGTCATAGAGAAGCTTTTAGCTATAAATAAATAACCCAAAATATTTTGTTCTTTGCATCCTTTGACTTAAACTATGCACTGACAAACTGTACCCAATGCAGACACGAGGATTTCTTGCTGCTTAGGGTAACCTCCCTATTTAGGCACCCAAAACATATGCAGGACCAAACTGTGCCTCTGCAGTGCCAGCACAGACTGAGCCAGCTCACAGGGTCTGCTGCTGTTTGCACATGGAGGAATCACTCACGTGTGAATCCACTTCCAAACACGCAGCACCACAAGTGGCTCTTCCAAGCAAGGCAGAAATAGCACGTCTAAGTCATTTTTAGGTATCTCTCTAGTGACATGTACCAATCCCACAACAGATCTGTGGCTGGCGGGGGTGTGTTGTAACTCTTGTTTAGGGCAGAACAGCTGCTGGGGAGCCTGGATCACACAGCTCTCCTGGCAATTCCCGGTGCCAAGGCACAACATGTGTGAAGCCAGCTCAACACAGACAAAGACAGGACAGCACGCAGAAAGAGAAGAAAATCTGAAAAAATAACTACTCAGGTATGAGTTAGGTCAACTTCAGCTCAACTTCAGAGTCAAAATCAGAAGGAAGAACTTGAAACCACTTTATTTACCCTCTTTTTTTGCCCTTTCCTACCTTTTTCTACTCATGCATGGCTGTAAACATGATAGTAACATACTGAATCATCTGGAAACTAATGCCATATAGGCATTTCAGATATCCAAGTGCTGAAATTATACTGAAACAGAGAATTTAGGGCTGTAACAGGCAAATTATTTCCACAAGGGCACTCATGACAAATCCATCCCATTTTATTAATAAAACATTGCAAAACATGCTTTTTATCCATCACACGGATAAAAGTCAGTTCTAATTAAGAGACTCATCATTTGTACTCCTGGCAGCTACATACTTAAAGGCTTCAGGATTAATTCCAGTGCATTACTTCAGATCCTTAGATGTCACAGACATCAACATCCAGAAGAACCCCCCCAGCCACCAGCTTCTCAAATGAGGGATAAGTTTTGACATAGTCAAAACATAATCCTAAAGGCACTTACAACTGCACTGTTACCACAGCAAAGGTAAGTTTACACATTTTATGCAAAACCCCCAGTTATTTCTTCTGTTTACATGGACACAAATTCACAGACCCACAACATTACAGGGATTGTGGAGAAGAGAAGGCTCTGGGAGATATTAGGCACCTGCCAGAGCCTAAAGGGGCTACAAGAAAGCTGGAGAGTGACTTTTGACAAGGTCACGGAGTGGTAGGACAAGGGGGAATGGCTTTAAACTGACAGAGGGCAGGGTTTGATGGGATATAAGGAATAAATTCTTCCCTGTGAGGGTGGTGAGGCCCTGGCACAGGTTGCCCAGAGAAGCTGTGGCTGCCCCATCCCTGGAAGTGTCCAAGGCCAGGCTGGATGGGGCTCAGAGTAACCTGGTCTAGGGGTCCCTGCCCTGGCAGGGGGGGCTGGAATGAGATGATCTTTAAGATCCCTTCCAACTCAAACCATTCCATGATTTTACTTAACCCAGTGCACACAGCAACCACCTGACAGCTACAAGGTCAGTACTTCGCCCGGTAACGCATTAAATACGTCTGGAGATTAGTATTCATAATTAGTGTGTGATTACAATATTTAGGGCCAGGTTTTGGCAGGCACCCAAGAACAGGCCTGGTTATTAAGCACCCTGGCCCCACGTGGTACCTTGTGGGAGCGCTCCAGGCCAGCGCTCCCCCCGACTCTGCCCCTCTGCACGACCAAATCATGCCTGAAATCAACCCACCCCCTCTGGAAATAACAACCTGTGTGAAGCAGCACGGGACTCTCTCCCTCATCCTCACTTTAAGAGCCTGATAAAACTCAAGTAAAATCAGGAATTGACCTAAATTACTTAATTTTAGCCGTTGGAGAACCCAACTAGGCAGACTAGGGAGTTTAGAGTTCATTATTGTCTTTTACTCCCTTCTACAATTTAATTACTTAACCTCTTATGGTCTCAGAGACCGTGAGCCAAGAGCTGTACCTGTGAGAAAAGGTTAACAGACTAATTATTTCACTTAAAATGGGAAAAAATGGCTTCTGGGGAAAACCAGAGCAGACCCAAGGAACCCTGCACTTCTCAGGCTCATACCTGGTGCTTCCTCAGTTGTATTTTGAGAATTTTTACCCTTTCTACTACACTGGCCTTGTGACTCTTCCAAAGAAGCTGCCCCACCCAGGGTGTGGGGACACAAGCTGTGTAATTCAGTAAATTAAAGCAAACAAATAAAAAAAAAAGAACCAACCAAAACATATGGAGCGGGAAGATGGGAATACTCCACTAGGTCATTTCTTTCAGAAGAAAGCTGAAGCTTTTCCCAAGTACATGATATTTGCCGGCACTTCAAATCTAATATTTCCATTTATCTCAAAGAAAAATCTGTGGACATCACACGCAGAGGTTAAACCCCAAGGAAACCATGCAAGTTCAGTGAGCAATTCAGAACACATCCGTGGTGCTTCATCAGCAATTAAATACCATCCACAAGTTGGATTTACCAAATCTCTTACTCACAAGAGCAGAAGGAACATTGACGCAATCAAAATGAGAAAAATACTGGTGTAACCAAGCTGATTTTTTTTTTAAAATTAGACGGATGATACACAAAAAAATAAAGTGTTACAATCACTCAATAAAGTCTTACTACTGGTAAGGGTTATATTTATGAATCAGTACATTTTCATAACAAAATGTCATGTTTCATAGCAGATCCTTCCTTCAAATGACCTCAAAAAAAGTTCTGAAACAAAATCCTCACCAAAACGCTCTCAGCTTTGGGTCCTCATCCTGCATAGCTATCCCTACAGGAATGCTCTCATTAGATGATGCAGCGATTTAAAAGGACTGGCATCTTATGTAAATGGATGTTATTGCTTTTAATTGCAGCCATAATTATGGGAGTGCCTCACAACTGAGTAAGGCCACATTAAGCAAACTTACTGGAAACTTCGCAAACTGCTCCGCAACACTTTGGAAGAGCACCAGGAGTCTCACAACGGGTATTTATTCAGTCCCATCTTCAACTCTCTGCAGAGGACTACAAAATCAATTGATCCTCATTGATCACACCAAGTTCTACTTAGTTTAGTGTCTTTTTGCCTCATATGAACTAGTTTTTCTTGATGTGTGTCAATATAAAACATTTAATTCAGAATTAATGTCTTTAAAGATTTAAAAATCCTTAAGAGTCTTCAAGTTTCTTCAGTATTAACATCTTTTTATTTTTTACCTCCTCACACTCCAAAGAGCCACACAAGCACCGTGGGACCTGCTACAGAGGTCCCATGAGCCAGGCTATGAGGTGTTGACAAGGAGGAGCGAGAGCAGGATCCATTTCAGCAGCTACCCTGGCACAGTCAACAAATCCCTGCTCATGGGAGATGCCAGTGCAAGCACCGTGCAAAGGACCCAAAGAACAGTGGAGGGTTTATAGTTCAGTCATGAGTAAGCAATGGCCCATCACTGCATTTCCACAGCTGAATCAGAGTCCTCCCTCATAGCCTGAGGTTGAAGCCACCAACCTCACTGAAGTCCATTTCCATGCCCTGGGTTGGAGTCAGGCATGGACAAAGTACACAGTGCCTACTACAAGGCCAGCAGAAGCAAAGTGATGGCTGTAAACAAGAGCAATCCTCTGAGTCACCGGGGCAGGAGCCACAGCCACTGTACACCCACTGACACCCAGTTTTCTGCGGTACCAGGGAGCTCAGGGTGCCAGGCCAAAACTCCCCAGTCCCGTTAACAGACCTGAGTACAACACCCCCCTGCTGCCATCTCCACCTCTGCCCTCCTGTTCTGCCCCATGGCAGCCAGAGTGCCCAGGAAGGTGCCAGGTTTATCTTCCAGGCTATGTAACACAATATCTTAGAAAGTGGGGAAAAAACACCCAAACATAACCACGATGGAGCCCATGTTCAAAAGTTTTGGTACACTTGCATCACAGCTGTCATCCCATATTACACAAAGTGCCTTACAAACATGCCAGACCTCAATCCCCAGGGAGAGTCAGGCCTTTCCAAGGAAGGCCCCAATGAGCCAGAAGCCAAATCTCACAAAGCAAGATAAAAAAGATGCAGATTATGTGGGTTTATGGTGTTGCCCTTAGGAATAAGGGAAGAAGAAGTAACCAGTTAGATCACTATTTGCCAAAGCACTGGTTTTACACCCTTCCTCAGCCAATGGAGGGCAACAAGGCTTGGAGGAGTGCGATGTAAACCCGCCTTCCCACAGACAGTTAAAAAAATTCATCCCAGCCAAGCCATCTCCAAAAATAACTCGGGAAGCAAACAGCCACTGCTACACTACGATTCCCTCCTTCCACGCTACATCTCCCAAACCTTCCTCCACCTTGGGCTATTCCAGCAAGAAGCCGCAAATCCCGTTTCCCACCCCGCGAGCTTCTGAGATGCCGGGCACCCTCACTCCTCGGTGGAGCTGAAAGGGAAAAATTCCGACCAGGGGGTCCAAGAAAACACGACCTTCCCCCTCCAGCCTTGCCCCGACGCGCGTGGATCCCTCGGGGTCTGGGGGCTGCCAGGGTGGGAAGCCGGCCTCCGGTGGTTGGGATGGCAGGGGGTGGGAAGGGCAGAAGCGCCCAGCCCCGCTCCGTGCAGGGGGTCCCCGGGGGTCCTACCTCGGCAGCGCCGGCCCTGCGGGAAGCGGCCGCGGCGGCGGCAGCCCCACATCTGCGGCTCAAACCTCGGCTCCGCGGAGGGTGGATGTGGGATGGAATGGGATGGGATTGGGACGGACCGGCCCAGCGCGGCCCGCGGGGGAGCCCGGCGGAGGGTCCTGGCGGAGCGTGCCCGCGGCGCCCGCGGGAGCTGCCCGCGGGTGTGCGCGCCCCGCGCGGGGCGGAGCGGAGGGACCAGCCCGGGGCAGCCCCCGCCCCGCCGGGCATCCCGCCCGCCGCTCCGCCCGCGGAGACCGGGGGGGATGCGGGACGGAGTCGGAGAGGGAGAGACTCACGGCACCTCCGCGCGGGACTGGCTGCGGGGAGCGCCGCACCGGCACCCGGCGGTCCGCCGAGAGGCGGCTCCCGGGCGCGGCCCGTCCCCTCCGCCGGGACCGAACCGTGCCTCCGCTCTCTGCTCGGGGCTTGGTGTTCGGTCAAATCGAGCCAAATGTAAACAAACAAACAAACAATCAGACAAACAAATAAATAAAGCCAAGTAGACGGGGGAGGTGGAGCGGCTGTAGCCATTTTGCAGACCTGGCTGTGAGTGCAGCCGGAGGAGGATTGGGATCAACAGTGTGTTTGGGGTTCGGTCAGCAACAAGCACCTCAGCCAGGCTCGCCAGAAGCTGTGCAGCTGCTCCACGGAGCCACAGGTGACCCCAGAGCTGACCCAGCGGGCCCAAGCAGAGCACAGAGCACACACCCCACCGGGGCACGGCAAGGAGACAAGACAGGGTTGGGATCCACGTGTCAGTGAGCCCAAGCGGTCCCAGGTGAAGCCAATAGGGGCAATTACAGATTGTACCTGTGCTCAGGTCATTGTCAGGGCAAAGCCACCGACATGCTTGGGGACACAGCTTTCTCCTGCCCTTGCTGTACAGCATCCCTGAGGACAGGGATGGCAGCTCGAGCTTGGTGACAACAATACTCCAGTTTGTTATACCAGCCTTGGGGTGATACTGAATGTGTGTGTTATTTTGTTCAGGTTAGAACAGGTTATTTTTGTGGTTGCCTTTCCTAACAGCTTTGTAATTTCATTAGGCTGCCCATCTGAAGTAGGCATGAACAAACAGGTGTCTGTAAGAACCTTTGGAGCTGTTATCACACTGTACGTCCTGCTCTGGGGTAAAGAGCTGGTGAGGCAGCACTGTGCTCAGATCAGAGTTGTTATCTGTCTTTCTGTGCCTTTGGCCTGCAGAGATAAGCAAACAAGTTTTGGGAGGGGGAAACACCACTGCAGATGAAAGAAGGTCAAACAGAAAATGAAGGAAGATTAAGGAACCATCAGTCTAAAGCCACTTAATAGTGAAAAATCAGAATAATTCCCCTTTAAGATGAAAATGTGAGATTTCATTTGATTTTGGTTTTGCTTAAAATTCACATGCAAATTTTCTTTACCTTGGCAAGATGTCTTTTCATCTACCTACACATCTCGGCCCTGCTTCCCAAGCTGTCTCCAAGTGATATCAAGTCTAAGTTTGCTGTCTGGGCAGCTGATTTCAGACCCCCATTGGTAGCATAAGCATTGTAACTATGCCAGCTCTGACTGGAGATCATCTGATGCTTTAAAACTTAAGTCAACAAAGTACAACTTCTTAATTTTTTATAGAAATTAAGCCACATGAAGGAAAGGGTGGTTTGTTGGTGTTTGGTTTTTTTTAAACACGGAGTATTGCATGTTTATCTTCAGGTGATGTGCCTCCTGCAATGAGGAAACCCAGCAGCTGAGTTCAGTATGATGCTCAGTATCACTTCCTTCAAATGTGTGTGCAGTGACTCAGAGCAAGGGTTGAGTTACTTTGGGCTGAGAGACCAAGCCCCTGCCACTCCTCCAATCCTATGTTGTAACTGCTCCCCTGGAAATCTGATTTATTAGGAACTAAAGGTGAATACAGGGGGGAAAAAAATGTTTCACTGTTGATGCAATGCTGCAGAACAACCTTCTTTCTGTTTGGGGAAACATCAAAGATGCAGCTCCTTGTGCCACCCCTAGAGCTCAACAGCTTCTCAAGCTGCCACAGCGCTCCACAGAGGTGGAAGTCATCCGTGTCCACTTTCTGGACAATACTTAATCCTTATTAACTCCCTATGATTTCATCTGAAGTATTAATGCTTCTTTTGCTTTATCTTCTTAAGAAGCTCAAGTGACTTTATGTAACTGTGGCCTTTTCTGTCCACTGTTAACACAGTGTGAAGGAGGGAGATGATGTGGTGTGTACACACAGCCACCATGTCCCTGGTGCTGTTCTGGAGCAGAGCATTTGTCACTGGCACAGGTGGCATAGCTCAGAACTTGATCTAGTTAAGACTGTTTTTGGTCTGACTTCTTCCATCTTGGAGCCATTTGAGAGTTTCTCTGAAAGAAATAACCTGCGATTCTGAGCCCTGGGGTAGGGGAGAGGCCCTTGGTCTTGTCTGCTCTCCCCTTAAAACATCTTTTAGTCATGGTTTCTGGGCTTAGTGAAATCTTATCCCCATGTTCTCTTAAAAAAAAAAAAAAAGGTTTTTTGCAGCTGGCATGAAGCAGCAGGTAGTGAGGCAAGGCCAGAAATGGAGCTCAAGAGGGCTGGGCACTGCAGCAGTTCAGCCTCCTGTCCCTAGCCTTAAAAATGCAAGAAAACCACCCAGCTGCAAGGATTCCTTACTGCTTGGTGTTGGCAAAAAGCTTCACAGCGACCCCCCTCTCCCCCTGGCCAGAGAGATGTAGCTCAGTATCAGCCAGAATCTTCCACTCCTCTTGGCAGAACAAAAGGTCCCGAGTATCAGTTGCGAAGGCTGCTCCTAACCCGGCACGGGCTGGTGGGCAGAGCCTCACCGGGGATCAGACAGGCTTCTGTTTTCTTCTGGTGGTTTTTGTCTTGGAGGATAACCATGTCTATCCTCCTCCACAGCTTTTTTGTGTGGGAAGGCACACCTTAGCCTTTCCTTGGCATTGTGCAGCAGTTGCACTCCCAGAAGGGCTGTACTGCAGGATCCTGACTGTGCCGAGGACTCAAGTGTTCTTAGAAGCAAATACCAGTACAGGTATTAATAGCAAGAATTGCTAGAAGTCTTGGGTTTTGCTCAGGCTCTCTGTAGCCAACCACTGATGAGGTTGTTTGAGATTTTGTCCAAACTGGGGAGGTCTAGTTAATTTGGCAAGTGAAACTAGGAACCGATTCACGAGGGGAAAAAAAAATCTGACAATTTATTTGCATTTAGGAGAACTCAGCAGGACAGAAGAACATTCAAGGTAAATATTCACAGTTTCTGCCTGGGATGTTTGATCCTAGCTTGTGCTTGGATAGACTGAGCAAGCTGGGTCACCCTTCCAGAAAATGTTTAACTTAGTCCTGTGCCCTTCTCAAAAATAATTAAATAGGAAACATTTCCACACTTACAGACCTTGGAAAAATCTTTTGCTCTAAATGTGGCTTTGTGGTTTCAAAGAACTGAAGAAAAGGCCACAAAAATACAGCTTGCCTTTGGCTGCTTGGCAAGGGAAAGCATCTGATCAGGCTTATCAGAAGAGCTTGGCTGCGGCAGGCCTGGACTGCCTGGGGACACCAATCCTACTGACTGTTATTTTCACAGGTTAATTTATCCTGCATTAATGTGAGCCAATAATTTTTACCTCTGGATGGCAATAACTTGAAGATGAGTAAATCAACTGGATTTTTGTAGCTTTTTTAGCTAGGTTGTGGTCAAGTTCCTCAGCTTGATTGGAAGGTTTAAGCTGTTAGGTCCTTTGTTAGACTTCTTGGAAACTGGGCAAATGCAGGACTGCATTGTGATCAGTTGAGCCAGATAACACGAGTTTTTATTAAAGATATTTTTACAATCTTGACCCAAATTGTAAGTGTGCAGGAGAAGGATAAAAAGCAGAAACTAGTTGGTGAACTGTCAAGCAAAAGTTAATACAATTATTCATGTAGTCACCTTGCGGTCACTATTCACGCTGTACCTTGTTTTTCTTTTCTCTGAGCTTTTTTTTTCTGTCCAGACTATAAGATCTTAAAAAGTCAGGTGTATCCTTGTCCTGAAGCATAGGAGCATGTTAAGGTACCCCAAGACTGGAGACTTTGGATGTTTGGGATGCCTTATCTTTGCGAGTGGGGATTCTCATCTCCAGTCTGGTCGGACCCTAAGAGCTTGCCTGGCCTTTCTCAGGCCCTTTGGGAGAGGGGGATCTTGTTATGTGCATTGCTGGAGTGTTTGTTGGGCTATTTTTATGCTGCTCGGTTTTTTGTGTGTGCAGCTGTAGTCAAGTGCTGCTTCCTGATCCCAGACAACTGAGATTTTCCATAACCTTTGACTAAGAAAAAACGTATCTTTAATCACAGCTCCCCTTCACAACAGGCAGCATGTAAGAAGATTATATAAATATTATATTAAGCACATTTTTTGGCAAATTGCTTGCACTGGTGTTGCATTTCTTTCCACTAATGTCCGTGTAGTAGAAGAAATAAATGGCATGCTTGGCCCATAATAGAAATGAATACTCTGATGTGTATTTCTTCTATCTCACTTGGGGATTCCTTATCAATTAACTGCCTTGTTATTTTACATCTGACATCAATTTATCTACCAAGAACCCAGAGCAGGGCATTCTAAAGATGAATGTCCTTACCCTGGGTTATTGGTAGGTATTTCTAGATAAAGCTGCTTAGGTAGAAATACTTTTTTCTTGCTTAGAAAACAAAAGTAAGGGGGTTTTTTTGGTAGCTACCAGAAAATTAGCACTCATACAATGCCTTCTAGCCACAACTGAAGCAGAAAAGGTTTCACGACCCTTCTGACCAACATCCTGAAGATTAGCTCTGAGTAGATTTTGGTGGCAGTTCCAGGGCTCACCTGCTTTCATACACTGATGGGGCATTGATGACAGCTTTCCAAATTACTTCATTTAATTTGAATGTAATCACTGATTCAACAAAATCTACTAAGCAGATCGTCAGAGCAAACTGAACAACCCGTGAAATAAAAAGCAGCCTGGGTATTTTTAAGTGTGCAGCATGGATTTCTGACAGAAAATCTGTTCCATCTAACTAATTTTGATAGGGT